TTGAGTAATAAAAGGCAAATATCAGAACTGTACAGTTTAATATAGCATCTTAAAAATCTTTTTAGTATTCTATGGCATCTGTGACCTGCTAAAATCTAATTATTACTCCGATACCCTATGGAATTATTCAGAAAGATGAGATACAGTTTCTATCTGGTGCATTAAGCATCTGGCCTGACTTCACAGAATTCTAGCTAGCTGAATGTGCACTCTAGATTTTATTAACATCACACAGGCTCATGCTAAGATGCAGTACTGATGTGCCCTGACATGCATCACTACCTGTTGACAGAAAAAACTGGGCTAGACTTGAGAGGGTCTACAAATAGAAAATCTTTCAAAGATGTTTTGGCAATTTTAACAGAAACTTTGGCTTTAAAAAAAAAAAAAAAAAAAAAAAAGGAGAGAAACAGTAATCTCAAGCTTATAAATTTATAAAACATGCCCAAGTTTCAGTGAGCCAAATCCTTTGAAAATGAGATAATCTCTATCATCTCTTGCTTCCTTCTGCAACTAAAAGAATCCCATTTTCTTTGGAACCTGTGCCCTCCCTCAATCTCAGCCATGTGTTCAAGTAGGGCTGACTTTATCTACAGCTCCTACAGCGAGCTCACATTCTCCAGCCTGTCACCCTTTGTCTTACAGTAGCTTCCAGAATGAGTGCAATCAAGTTTAAACACATGAGAAAGAGTGAAATAGGTTCCATGCAAGAGCTTCTGGGAAAAGCCCCCCCACTCCCATGCACACTAAGTTTATGGGAATGTGTATGTGCACCTGCTACTGCCCAAAAGGAAAGTCAGGAGCTCCCAAGGGTCCACTGTTTGCAGCTTAAGGAGTCTGCGGACAATAGAGAAGCCAGGACAGACAGCCAGAAAAGCTGGTTTCCTGTTGACACATCTAAACAACTCTATCAAACATCACCTGAAACCATTCCCCATATTTGAACTTCTCTGTCACATAAGACCGTCTGACTCCAACTGTTGTTCAGGTAGCATGGCCCAGATTGTCAATCAAATGATTCTCAACTGACAATAGTTCAAGATATTTAATATACCAAAGCCAGGAGTATTCTTTTTTTCATAGAACTTCACAGATTTTATTTTCATCAACAGTGGTGAAGGGACAGAAGATAATCAAGAATGTTTCTAAGACTTAAATAAACTTTGGTATGTCCTAAGATGAAATCTCAAAACATCAAAGTTGGAGACTGTGGAGGATAATCTTACCCCAGCAGTAGTTTCTTTAAAAGGCGACAATGGATGTCTGTATGATGAGGATGGATGAGATAGCTTAAGTAGAGACAACCTAGGAGGCCTGGATGATATATATATGTTATAGTGACTTCACCTGGGAGTTAGTAAGGAGATCTTCGAGGGGAAGGGCTCATTTGGTATTTTTAACCTGGATATACAAGAACATGGCAGAGCCTGGAAAACCTGATTCCAAATGCACTATCTCCCTTTTTTTGACAATAAAACAGCTCTTATCTTCACACAAACACAGAAAAACACAAAGTCCTCTGACAGGGCAAGTTTCGACAGTCCCAGTGCCTTAAAACTGGGATGTTACTGTAGTTCATTTCTAAGCTGGTTGTTTCCTTTCTGAAATGCATTTTCTCATGTACAAGATTAGATCCACAGGCTACCTTACAAAATGTAAGAAAATGTAAACTAACAAGAAATACCTTTCCATCCAAAAAAAATCTACCATAGCTCAACTAGGTTAAGTTCTGGCAACAGAAGGCCATGAGTCACATGAAGACAAGAGGAAGCGAAATCAATAAGAAGCTCTCCGCTCTCCTATTCCTCTGCTGCACCCCCATTTCCAGGCTCTATAACTACTTCACAGAGAAACCTGAAAATTGTGAAAACTCTCTGACTGGCCCTCTCCTACCTCTTTGTGCCGTCTTCTCCCACCCTTAACACATCTTTGTCCACTGCTCAGATGCCCCCATTATAAAACAGCAGCTATCATTTTATTGGGCACGATGAGTCATACTCTGAGCTAATAACTTAGAAACATGAAGTAATTTGTCTTCAGTCATGTGGCAAAGCTAAGAGGGAATCCAATGAATACAAGACTCTAGACTACACCCCTTCCCCATCACTCACATACTCTGAGTCCTTCCTGCTCTGAGAATTCAGTCCCTCCCTTTACGTGACAGCCTGAAAAACAGCTAGTCTCAGGGCTGCAGAGATGACTCAGTGATTAAGAGCAATGGCTGCTCTTCCAGAGGACCCCAGTTCAATTCCCAGTATCCATGTAGTGGCTACATCAATCCTTAACTCTAGTTCTAGGGGCTCTGGCATCCTCTTTTGGCCTCCACAGGTACCACTCTCCCAAGTGGTGCACTTACATGCAGGCAAAACACACACATAAAATTTTTAAAAATCTTAATTTTTAAAAAGCTGTTGGTCTCCCCTTTTGTCAGTCAAGACAGCTGTCCCTTTCTTGTGCTTAGACTTCTTTATAATACGTAGTAGAAAAGCAATTTGAACTAATACCTAGCTTCCTCAAACTTGCTAGAGGTGGTTCAAACTCTAATTAAATGAGCATATTATTTTTTTAAGTTCACCTCCAGCCAGCAGAATTTCACATGTCTGATAAAACAAGAAATGGAAAAAGAAAACACAGACACACATCAAGACCATATGTGTTGTAGGTCAGAGAGGGCTCAGCCACAAAGGCACTTACAACCAAACCTGAAGACCTAAGTTTGATACCTGGGACCCAATCTCACCGATTGCCCTCCTACCTTTAAATGGGCACTGCACTGCACATGATCCCCCTGCCCCCACATAAATGTAATTTAAATGTTAAAAATATGGGGGCTGGAGAGATGGCTCAGCAGTTAAGAGCATTGACTGCTCTTGTAGAGGACCTGAGTTCAATTCCCAGCACCCATATGGCAGCTAACGACGATACGATGATCCACAACTCCAGTTTCAGGATATTTGATTCCTTCTTCTGACCTCTATGGGCATTGCATGACATGGGTACACTAACACATTCAGGCAATACACTCATACACATAAAAAAATAAATTAGATACTTTAAAAAGTATTTATGTTTGACAGGAGAAGATGACAGTGGAGGCTGAATCAGAGTTGACCTCTAAAGCAGGATCTTTAGCATCAGTTACAATTTTTCGCAATTTTGTGCAAACAACTACAGTTTAATTCACAGCTTAAGGGGGGGCATCAATATATAATTGGCGTTCGATAAATTCTTACCACCTTTATTTCCCAAGTGATGAAACCAAAGCACAGAGCAGGTAATATGAGGTCATATAACAAATGGCAGCCCTTGGAAAGCAGTCCCCAGAGGGCCTTGCTCCCAAGCCAGCACTCTCCTGCAGATTCCTGTAACCCAAATTGCCCATTTATCTTTTTTTTTCTGTTGAAGGCTTTCAGGCAGCTGAATGGAGACAAAACTGATTAAATATGGGTATAAACCCACAGGAATTCAGTCAGACAAAAATTTCCTTTTTTAAATAGAACCAACTCGCATCTGAAAATAGCTTCTAGAAAGAATTATTTCCAGAAATAATTTAATCCATGTGTTTGTTTTGCTGTAACTGCAAAGAATTCACTCTTTCTTAAGAGATTATTAGTCAGTCCCACCTCACTTTTCCCCCAAATCCAGCAGCTACCTCTCAGTTTAACCTGAATGGCTTAACAGTTCTAAGAAATTGGCTTTTCAATAGATGTGAGAATTCTAAAACTCCTACATTCAGTGGGTCTGCCTCCAAAGCCTGGGAGAGAGCAATCATAGAGCAATAGGCGTCAGTACCACTCTCATCAAGAATTCACCTTCTACTTGGAAACCATCCGTTTTTGGAGGGGAATTTAAAAGGTTCAAACAAATAGACTCAATGAAGTCAATGTAGAGAAAAATAACCATCTATGCCCATGAAAACAATTAGATGGCTCCTTCAGAAACAAACATTCAGGAAAACTTTCAGAAAGGACAAAGGATAAAGTCATGAGCCTCTAAAAATAAAGCATAAAAAAATTAAAGGAAATAGCCCTTTAGGTAAATAACGGAAAGATTCATCTCAACAACACAAAATTCACTTTCTTAGGGAAAACTTACAAGTCGAAAACAGTTGTTGACCAAATAGCAAAAAACAGAGGATAAGAAAGTTAATTGTGTTAAATACAGAATTATAATCTCACTGCCTTGTAATTTTCGATGTTTATTCATATATCTATAATAAAACAATTTAATCCTGTCTCTAAAAGGTTTTCTAGGATGATTATGTCTAAACCTACCCTCACAGGAGCAAAAACATAAGAAGATTCTATCAGAGGTGTCTGCACCTGTGTGGGTAGTATATGTCTAGCAGTAGCATATGAAACATGCTTCAGTATTTAAAAGACATGTGGGAAAAGAGCTTTTGGCATCTCCCAAATATGACTGCTTTCTTCAGTATTTTTTATATTTTTGCATTTCTATTTCCTTTCCCCTAAATAAATCAGCACTGGAGGTTCAGTGTGGTGGCACTCCCAAAAGGAGACAGAGGCAAGAGGAGAGCCTCTGTGAGTTCAAGACCAGCCTGGTCTGCATAGTGAGACCCTGCCCCCGACCCCCAAATCGGCATTGAACCTGCTTTCTACTCATTTGTCAAATAAATAATTATAACACGATTGCACTAGCAATAAAAAATAATCTAAATTTCGTTAATTTATTTCCAATACAGATGGCTTGGAAATAAAAAATCTGTTTTTCTATTGTAATCTCTAAATGTCTTAAGATGCATGCAGCTTTTCTAAGTATGCAACCACTGCCTTGTGGTAGTAAACTCCAGGGAATGCTGAGATTCCAAGGAGCTGCCTACAAACCAAAAGGCATCCTGGCTTTGGCAAGCTGAGCGGCTCATTTCGGCTTCTCTCACCCCCTCTAGCGTTGGCAAGGTTCATCTGTCTGATTATCCAGTTACCTCACTGAACAAGAGCTGGGCTAAGTCCTGCCCATCTATGACATCACCATTCCTCAGCCACTGCGAGGTGAAGCTTTAAACTTCAGACTTGGAGGTGGGCTGCGTGCAGTAAACTAGAATGCTCTCGCGCGCGGTCCTCAGCGCTGGAGTGATCCGCAGCCGCACGGGCTCAGGCTGCAGCTGATGGTGGCTTTATGTGCACTGGACGCCGCGCTCTGGAGGCGGGGGAGGGTTTTCAGTCCAACTCACAGGCAATGGAATTGCAGCTACAGCAGCAGCGTATAAAGGATTGCTTTTTCTTCGTCTTCCTGGTAAGTGTTTTCCACGTTTTTCTCTTATGATTGTCCCAGAAAGTTTGCTTGCTTTTACTCTCCAGAAAGAAATGACTTGTACCATGAGGAATCCAAGTAAGGAGGTTTGCTCTGGCACCAGTACCAGCAATAGATGTGCGTGCAAGCCAGCTAGGAAAATTTTGACTAAAGAGCCAAATGCAAAGAAGTTTCTTACAACCTTATTTCATTAAAAAAAATAAGAAACAGATTCTCTCCATTTCAAGTAATTTCTATTAGCGCAAAGCGTTATGGAAAACCACAAGTTGGAAAGTTAAATGTTTAAGTATTAGAGACCACAAGGCAGATTTTTCAGATAGGAAAGCGAAAGATCTTGCTAATTTGGCGTGTGCTATATGTGTGGTATGATCACCAATCGCTGTTTTTACAAATGAAAGAAAATCAATAATCCCTCAGCCCATGAGTACGCAGTACATGAAAAGCATACGTCTCGCTCCCAGCTAGCAGAGCTGCTCCCGGAGACTTAGATGCCTGTGGAGGATTAACAGCTACACCTAGATTTTAGGGCTTGCACTGCTATTCAGCCACAGCTCCTTCAAGCATTTCAGGCTTGTGAATCTCAACTAGTAAATTCAACTCAGAGTCGCGTCCAAACCATAGTCCCCTTCCAGCAGAACGCCAAAATCCATCGCTTGGGCAAGTGTGGTATGTGACTAGCATAGTAACGGGTAAGTCTACCCAGAAAAACTAACAAAGCTCACCCTAGAAGGGATGCTTGATGTGTGCAGTGAGTTCAGGGTACCAGGGGAGAAAAAAAAAAAAGTGTAGCCTTCATCAAATGCAGAGTGTCCATTCACTTGCAACTAATAATGGGAAAAATCTTCTATTGGAACAAATGCATGTGGACTACAAAGCTTTCCAAATGCATCTTCTTTTCTGAAAAAAAAAAAATGTTTCTCAGTGAATTAGGTCTGAAACAAAATGGTTGCATAGAGGTAAAGAGTGCAACAGGCCCACATTTTTTCAACATTGAGGGGGAGGGGTATTTAGAATTAAAAAGAAATGGGGAATTTTGGTATTTTTCAATTATAGAGTCAAATTCTCCAATGGTTTTAATAATTAGCTATTTAAATTTTTCTTAATAAATCACTCTGCCTCAGAATGCACACGCATGTTATTTTCTTAGGGTGAAACATGAATCAAGCCACAAGAACTGCTTGAGCTGTAGCAGTGCCTTCGCTTGTCCCTGACTGCATATGAATATCTCAACCAGCATACACAGAAGGGATGAATCTGTCCTTTCAGGGTAGAATCACTGATGCCTGACTCAGTGTGACAGATGACCAGTACTCATCTCTTTGGAAATGTGTAGAGAAAGAGATCAGTCCTTTAAAAGTGCCACAGCAGTATCATTATTACTATTCCTACAAATATTGATAAACATAATAGATTTTAATTAATACAAAGATTACTTATACTACTTACTTTCAAATACATATGTGTATGGACACATCTATATTTTTATTAGCCTAAAATGAGAAAAGCAGGGTTAAAAATGTGATTACATTTGCACTTAAATTTAAAAATTATAGTTTGTTTCTTTTAAACAGAGCACGGCCAAAATACATCAAGAGTCCAGGAGTCAGTAAAGATATTAGCAAGTGAATAAACATAATAAATGCATTAATAGTGTATTCCAGTATCACCATCATCAGTAATTGATTGGGCTTTTCATTTCTCTACATACCCCTTTTAAAATCAGCTCTGGCTAGGTTCAAAATGTCCAGTTAAACAATTGCTAAACATAATGTTTGTGAAATACATAATTGGGCAACAAATAAAGTTTACTGAAACTAAAAACAACCCAGGAAATTTATCATAACTCAATGTGGCAGTTAATAGAAGGTACGTTGCTTTTGCTTTCAAGTGTTAATTAAGGAGCCTCCAATTCTATCAAAACTTTTCAGAGCTAAATGAAGCAGTGTGAAATAAATTTGGTTGAAATCTTGTGGCTGTCAGACTTTGTTAGCGAGCTATTAATTATCTTTACCCCAGTTTCTTCTCTAGCTATATTGCCCAATCAAATAGAAACTCCAATTACACTCAGCATCTCCTGCCTAGGGACACAGGACCCTAATGAACACTCAGTCCCTACAGATGAAAAATACAATTATCAGCTTTAAGCATGCAAATGCAAGCAATGCAGATTTTCCACTGTGCTTTCCAGGGCCACACATCCTAAGGCTTTCTCCTTTTTCTGGATTATTCGGAACAGTTTTAAATGCTACAAATGTTAGTAGCAGGGAAGATGCCTTGTTTTAATATTATATGATTATTTCTTGCATTTTTGTTTTGATAAGCCAATGTTCATATGACTATTAAATTAAATCTAGCTATTTAAAAACATTTGGTTTAGAGTTGCCATTCAGTTGGTCTAAACCCCTTTCCCCCCTTTAAAGGTGGGTGGGCTGCATAACAAAGAATGTGATTAATTGCAAAATCTAGAACTAACTTAAAAATTCTGAATAAAGCCCTTTCTACATTCACTTATTCAAGGCAGTTCATTAAAAACCATTATAAATAGTTGTTTCATGTCAAATGAAGAGCAACATAAATGAAGTCAAGGAGGGAAATAAGATTCAGTGAATCTTTCAAAGCTGTAATTCCTCCCCTCCTTCCCTAGTTCCCCATCCCTCCCACCCCCACCTTTTGCCCCAGAGGCCTTCCCTGTTCTTCTCAACGGGAGGCTTTGTTGTAATTAAACCAGAGAAAAACTGGCCAGCAGCAGCCAACATCTGACTGGCGGCTTCTGAAAGCAGTGTTCTGGTAGAGTGTACCACCCCCCAGTGGGCAAAAACTCTACAGTAAATCTCTCAGCAATATTAATCCTCAAAACATCATTCCCTCTTCAAACAGTAACAAGGGATGTTTCTCAGCATCTTCTAACAATCCACTGCTTCAAAATTTTATGAAAAGTCAACAAACCAATTTCCAACCAAGAGATGGTTAGTAAATTGTCTCCTAGAGAGGACTTCTTCCTTTTAGGTGTCTTCATTTCAGACAGCATTTTCAAAATGCAGATCAACATCACTAAATTCAGCTAAATATTACAATAACAGACAGTTTGGAAAGCCATTTTATACTGTATACGAGAACAGCTTTCAGGACGTAGTTTTATCTATTAACAAGACCTCCAGAGAAAAGAATTTAAGTAGAAAGGAATAAAATATAATTTAGTGGGTAGGTAAACTTTTACTGCTTTGCATATGCATAATCTCGCCCCTGCCCCCAAATCAAGTGTCGAGAATATACAAAAGCTCTTCCAGGTATTAGTCTGCTTAAAGGAGGGCAGTAAGAAATGCTTTCACTTGATGAGACAATGACAGCTTTTGTTCTTTATTCTTTTACTTTACATGCACAAGTTACCGTGGCAACTTTGAAGAGAACACCCACAAGCCACTTTTGTTTAATCACTATTTTTAAAGTGTGCCACTGGACTATGGATTGATCAGCTTATGTGCTGTTGATTTTCTTCTTCTTCATCTGGTTTAAATCAATAAGTACCTTACTTGGACATGAAGAAAACAATATGTTTTATGATTTTTAGATGGTCTCGTCAAGGAGTACAGAGCTTGACATGCTGTGGGCTCAAACAAAGAGTTGTTGAAATAATGTATCAAAATTTAAATATTAGAAATTTAAAGCGAAGTTGGATTCACAGAGTGAAACAGGAAATACAGGTTTGCAATGTCAAAGTGCTTCTGTTTTAATAAAGGCAAGCATACTTCTAATTGCAGCTGCTCAGACGTCTGCACAAATTGATATGCCCTGGGCTTCATGCTCTCTCGCTGCCCTTTCAGCGACTATCCTATCGGTTCTTATGTCGTGGTTCTATCATTCATGTAGTCTGGCTTTAATATCATAAAAGGAAAAGCATTTGCCATGATGAAAGATAACACCCCAGTTTGCCTTTGTTTTAAAGATGCTTAATTTAACTTTACAAGCAAAAACAAATGAAGCAGAACAGAATTAAGATTCATTTATCACTAAATCCGGGGGTGGGGGTAACATAAAAGGTGAAAGTAAAAAGCTTTTTGCTTGGAAACTTTTATCCCATTTTCCATAAATGAAACAAAACCTTTTTCATACTAGAAAACAGTCTGTATAAAACCAAGGATGAAAAGGCACGCTTGCTTCTCTGCCTCTCAGAGAACCCTTCAGACTTCATGACTCTCAAGAGGAGAGTTAGAGGTCCTTCTGCTTGCCTAGCATTAAACAAAAGAATTGGAACTTTCCTGAAATCTGATGATCGTGGAAAATTTAACTACCAGACAGGCTGCTTAGAAAGCATTTTCCTGTCACTCTCAACTAACTTGATGTAGTCTGGTTTTCTACTTTAAACATATATGAAGTTCATTTGAAATACCATTTATTGTTCCAAAGACTTAGCACTTACAGGGTGTCCATTTGGTTGAGCAATTTTAGCTTTCATAAATAAATAATTTTCCTAATATGCTAGAATCTATGTGTGCACAGTCCAAATTAGCTAGAAGCATTCACAAACTTGGACAGATTTGTTAGCATATATTTTCTTCAAAATGAAGGTTTTACTCAAAATTCGGCAAGTGATTGAAATAAGAATTCTATGTGCTATCTTATTTTTTTAAAGTATTATCTTCAAAAAGTTACAGCATTAAGAAATCATTCTGTGAGGGAAAAAAAATCAATAAAATGAACCTACAATCGCAACACCTTAGCTTGACATAAGACTTAAAATAAAAAAATGTATTGATTAAGCAAGTCAAATAAAAACAATTTAAATAAGAGGTTGTAAACACAAGATTTAGGAAGCTGGCAGTACCATCACATAGCTTCATCTCATCCTAAGTTATATGCTTAAAACCTGAGGAATATCTTCTCATTCAAATGGTCTTACCTCCAGAATATTGTACTGGAAAAAAAAAATCACATAAAAATGCATGTTGCCTCAAGTTCTTAATTTTTTTTAATATCAGTTTCGTATTCAGATACAACTTCTTACTATTTATTAGCCTTCACAGAGTGTCTTCAAAGAATAGCATCTATTCATGTGCTTCCTTTGGTATATTATGAAGATAGATTAGAGACATTCAGATTTGATAACATTATGGGTGAAGTGATGGTGCATCTCTTTTGGCTAAGGCTTAAGTGTTACATACTTAAGTAATGATTCCATTAAAAATAATTTTAAAACATTCCACTAAGTAACCAGAACTCCATTTATGTTTTTCCTCAAGTTACCCCATTAAGAATATTTTTCTAAAAGGTCGATTGCTTTTTGTTCAGAAGCAATGGCCTCTTTCCAGCCTATGCAGACAGAAAAGCTCAAAGTCAATGCTGTGGAAACCTGGCCACAGTGGCAGTGCCAATGGGGTTGGTTTTCTTTTCATCATTCACATTCGACTATAAGGTCTATGTGTGTAAACGTGTAGATCCAGCTCAGAAAGGAATTGTAAGTATGAGGGTTGGAAGCTTTTTTTATGATGGAGAGATCATTATAGAATTTAATATACAAAAAATACTGTTTGGCACTACAGTTTGTCATATGAAGAAGCTATACAATAACATAAAATGTAGTCCACCATAAACTGACCCGCTCTGATCTGAAGACAGCAGGGCAGATGAGAGGAGCCTCTGCAAGCAGAGTCTTCATTTGTGAGACCACCTTTCCTAAGGATGCTGTTTTATGGTTCTGCCTTTTGTTTTCATCAAATTTGGGGAGAAGTGAATGACAGTCTTCTCATGATTTTATGAAACTAGAGGTATTCTGTTATCACATTATTGCCACAACTGTATGAATGGCAAATGCTGAGTTTGCTTATTAAACAGCAATGGTAGCAATTCCATAAGTATCAAACAAGTAAAATAAGCAACTTTTTAACATTTTTCACATTAATATTTTTCTATCTCTTGTTGAAAAATAAGAATCAATACATGTATTCTTAAAGCCTAGTTTGGTCAAATATATGTAATTCAGATTTTGTTTTAAAGGAAGCCTCTGTAGCTATCACCAGTTCTTATTATAAACAGCACATTGTGGTTTGCCCTGACTCAGAACAACCGTTTTCAAATCTCATTAAGCAGACCAACCCATCATCTGAACTCTGAAGTATACCTTGCCTTACTAATGCTCTGAAGTATAAGAAATACTTGACAATTGGTCACAAAGCAGGTTTTCATTTGTTACTTTCACAGCAGTTTTTAATTAATTTCTAATGCAATTTAACTAAAGTAATTGTTTACTTGACTTAAATTGACAGTGTTACTCTTTATTTTCGATCATTTTCAACCTTAGAAAACATCTACAGCAAAAACTTTTTATAGTAACTTTGTAATTATAATTTTAAAAGCTTGGGTTTCTACTTTCACTCACTTAGAAAGCAACATTTTATAAGCAGATATACTTTTAAAATTAAACAGTAAAGAGAAAAACACATTAAACAGATCATTTAAACCTTCCTCTCTGGGCACTCTGCAATATTCACTAGGCTGCCTTATCTATCTGCTAACTGCTATTTTTAGTTTGCTCAAACAGTAAATTATATGTATCTGAAATTTGTTCAAGTTTCCTTTGTTGTTGTTAATATAATCTATGTCAGCATTAGCATCTAATGGCAAACTGAAAGAAATGGGATTTTTTAGAGGAAAATAGAAGAACTGTGGCCTTGCTTAACATACAGTTTCAGTAGAATAAATTCTGGAACAGATGCTGTCCTTGTTGGATGCCAGGTAATAACTGGCAGAGAAGCAAATTACTCCTTTAGTCCTTAGTCTCTGGGTCAAATATTCCCGTGATACCCAAATGTTCCATAAATGTACAGAAGGCACCGAGTGTGTGACCCTGCCAAACCCATGTTCACACCACCCACTTGTGCAACCCCTAAAAAAAATTCATGTGTGTTCCATCAGGATAATGGGTAAAACAGTCATCAGTAAAATCACTGGTCTCCTTAAGCCTAACATCCTTTTTCAGAAGTGAGAACTACAAATGGTAGAAACCGGAATGTTCATATTTGAAGCTAGAAAGAGAAATGCACTTCAGGTTTTCATATGCCATTTAGTGGCCATTCTAAAGAAAGAGGGTGAAATAATGACCTTTCTATTCCAAATACAGATTTTTAGAGTTCAATGAGCCAAAAGTAGTATTTTGGAAATAAGAATACATTTCTAAAAACCTTATTGTGACTTGAACTTTTGTGCTATCATCTGAGCAAGACACCCAAGTGCCTAGAGTTTCCAGATCACCCATAGTACTGTGGCACCCTCAATAGAACGGTGAGGAAAATGGAAATTTACAGGAAGCATCAAATGGAGAGCTGAGCAAATTTTTTTAAAAAGCACTAAAGCAAAATCTTTTCAACATTTTCAATTGTAATTGTATAACTGTAAAATTATGTTCAAAGCCTTCAAAAAGTTACCATCAAGTTCCCATGAAAAACCTTCCCCATGTATCTATCTGCTCACCTCTTTGGCATGTACCTGTTTTCTTCTTTTGAAACATTTTATGACTGAGACTTAAAAGAGAACTTTAAAAGATTAGCCTGAATTTGAAAGCCCTGGAACAGGCTACTGCTTTTTAAATGAAATTTTGCCCTATTTTTTTTTATCAATTCAGTATGATATAAAGTATTAGTTAACATTAGAAGTTATCTGTTGCATGGCAATCCCATTTTGACTCTTAATTTATATAGCAAAATGGTAAACAGAAAAACAAGGAGGTGAGGCTACCACTTCTACCAGCTAATGTGATGAAAGATATGCTACTTAAAGAAAGATTGGATGGTAAAGCTCTAGGAGATTTCCCTAGTATGTTAAAGTTCATTGTTAATAGTATTTAACCTTTTACTTCCACAGGAGATGCTCAGTCCTGGCATATTTTAAGGAAGAGAAATATAAAGGAAATTTAGCTGCTTCCTTTTCTTTCCATGAAGAGTGTTTGGACTGTTTCTTTTACTTCATAAAAGAGAGTACCTGCTCTTGTGTAACACGACAGAAACAGAAATTTCAAGAAAGCAGCAAGAAGCAAAAGCTGGAAATAGCTATTTCACAGCAGGTAATCATACCTCAGGATGTAGTCATTGTACAAAGTTTATACTCGGATAATCCTGGCTGGGAATAAAGGTAGGGAGTAACTGCCAGGAAAACCCATTACTACACAGGCCTTAGCATCATGAATGGCTTTCTTCATGAGAATCTGAAGTGACTATCTCTGACCACATTGCACAGAAGAGCCAATAAGAATTTCAAAAAGGGTAATTTCCTGTAAGAGAATTAAGACACAGAAGGAACCTTCATACAGAAACTCTTATCAGAAAGGAAAAAAAAAAAAAAAAAAAAAAAAAAAAAAAAGAAAAAGTCATGTATCCTACATAGTAACGGGAAGCTGGATTGTTTCTGGCCCCCATTTTACTGAGCTTGCCCACCATGCTGAACCACAGCTGGAATGTTCATTGACAACAGCGAGCCTGATCTGGAGGTGTGTGCTGCATAGGATTACTTGAATAAACAGTGAAGAACATTTCCAAGGACTAAAGCATTTTAAAGTCCCAGCCCCTCACCAAGAAAGTAATATATGTGCATTGGACTTTCACCCACGTAAAATTTACTTACATCGCTCAATAAGGTAGGAAAAATGTTACACTGTTTTACTTTCATGCCTAAAATCATAAAGGCTGATTAATAAGTAGAAACAAGGAAGAGGCATTACACAACAGACTCATATAAATCTGTAATTCCCCAGCCCATGGGGGAAGTTGAATCATGTTCTAGCTTAGAATTTAAAGACAGATATATGCACTGTTAAAACATGTTGTGAGACTGAAAATACCAAAAACTGTGGATAAAGTTGTTAAACCAGGCAATATGAAGCATATAACAAAATGAGTATAGAAAAAAGAAAGTTTAACGTGAAATGGAATTTTCCACTTCGACCAACTTGACATTAGTTGTACAATTCTTTCCCTAAAGTAAGTGAAAGATTACTTATTACTTTCTTGTCAGAAATACCTTTCAAACAGTGTTTAATAATGATAAAAAATAATAATATTATTAATCAAAGCTAATGAGTCGCTTTACTGAGATTGAAGATCTCAAGATGTATGAGGCTAATTGTTCCTGAATATTAAAAGCATAGATGTTTTTTAAGTACACATCTCTACAGCCATAAGGTCATTAAAAAGTTATAAATAAATAAAAAGGAGACAGTAAATGTTCTCATAGTAATCATATTTAAATGCAACAAATTATATTTCTCCTGTCAGTTACTATGAATATTAAGAAATTAGAAACTTGATAAACTTGACTAGCTGAAAGTGTAATTAAAATATTTTAGACTATTTAATAAAATGAATTATGTTTAATATTCCAAAATCAAATGGTTTTGAACATGAAAGTTTTTCATTCCTATTCCAGAAACATTCAAGGTATAGAAATTAAATGGAGTGTGCTCGTTGTTAGCCAGCAATAAGCCCAGCATGCTCCTCTCTGAAAATTAAAAAATAAAAATTGCTTATAAATGCTTGTTTACAACTGTTTTACAATCTGATTTTGCTGGTCTAATTATTTTCTATCATCTCTTACTTTATTTTAGTAACAGAAGCTACATTGTGACAAGACCTCAACACTGCTGACCATGATCAGCCCAGCCTGGAGCCTCCTCCTCATCGGGACTAAAATTGGGCTGTTCTTCCAAGTGGCACCTCTATCAGTTATGGCTAAGTCCTGTCCACCTGAGTGTCGCTGTGATGCGGGTTTCATTTACTGTAATGATCGCTCTCTGACGTCCATTCCGATGGGAATTCCGGAGGATGCTACAACTCTCTACCTTCAGAACAACCAAATAAACAATATTGGGATTCCTTCAGATTTGAAAAACTTACTGAAAGTAGAAAGAATATACCTATACCGCAACAATTTGGATGAATTTCCCACCAATCTTCCAAAGTATGTAAAAGAGTTACACTTGCAAGAAAATAACATAAGGACCATCACTTACGATTCGCTTTCAAAAATTCCATATCTAGAAGAACTACATTTAGATGATAACTCAGTCTCTGCTGTTAGCATCGAGGAGGGGGCATTTCGCGACAGCAACTATCTCCGGCTGCTTTTTCTGTCCCGGAACCACCTTAGCACAATTCCGTGGGGTTTGCCCCGGACTATAGAAGAGTTACGCCTGGATGATAATCGCATATCTACTATTTCATCACCATCACTTCAAGGTCTCACTAGCCTGAAACGCCTGGTTTTAGATGGAAATTTGTTGAACAACCATGGTTTAGGTGACAAAGTTTTCTTCAACTTAGTTAATTTAACAGAACTCTCCCTGGTGCGGAATTCTTTGACTGCTGCGCCAGTAAACCTTCCAGGCACAAACCTGAGGAAGCTTTACCTTCAAGACAACCACATCAATCGGGTACCACCAAATGCTTTCTCTTACCTAAGGCAGCTGTATCGACTAGATATGTCCAATAATAACCTAAGCAATTTACCTCAGGGTATCTTTGATGATTTGGACAACATAACCCAACTGATTCTTCGCAACAACCCCTGGTATTGTGGGTGCAAGATGAAATGGGTACGGGACTGGTTACAGTCACTACCTGTGAAGGTCAATGTGCGTGGGCTCATGTGCCAAGCACCAGAAAAAGTTCGTGGGATGGCTATCAAGGACCTCAATACAGAACTGTTTGATTGTAAAGACAGTGGGATTGTAAGCACCATTCAGATAACCACTGCAATACCCAACACGGTGTATCCTGCTCAAGGACAGTGGCCAGCTCCTGTGACCAAACAACCAGATATTAAAAACCCCAAGCTCATTAAGGATCAGCGAACTACAGGGAGTCCCTCAAGAAAAACCATATTAATTACTGTGAAGTCTGTCACCTCTGACACAATTCATATCTCCTGGAAACTTGTTCTACCTATGACTGCCCTAAGACTCAGCTGGCTTAAACTGGGCCATAGCCCAGCATTTGGATCTATAACAGAAACAATCGTAACAGGAGAACGTAGTGAATACTTGGTCACAGCCCTAGAACCAGACTCACCCTATCGAGTATGCATGGTTCCCATGGAAACCAGCAATCTTTACCTATTTGATGAAACTCCTGTTTGCATTGAGACCGAAACTGCACCCCTTCGAATGTACAACCCAACAACCACCCTCAATCGAGAACAAGAGAAAGAACCTTACAAAAATCCCAATTTACCTTTGGCTGCCATCATTGGTGGGGCTGTGGCCCTGGTGACCATCGCCCTTCTTGCTTTAGTGTGTTGGTATGTGCATAGGAATGGATCTCTCTTCTCAAGGAACTGTGCATATAGCAAAGGAAGGAGAAGAAAGGATGACTATGCAGAAGCTGGCACTAAGAAGGACAACTCTATCCTGGAAATCAGGGAAACTTCTTTTCAAATGCTACCAATAAGCAATGAACCCATCTCCAAGGAGGAATTTGTAATACACACCATATTTCCTCCTAATGGAATGAATTTGTACAAAAACAATCACAGTGAGAGCAGTAGTAACCGAAGCTACAGAGACAGTGGGATTCCAGACTCAGACCACTCACACTCATGATGCTGGAGGACCATACCAGACTGCACTTCAGGTTTTCCAAACCTAAGAGAGGTGATGGTAGAAACCCTGTTCTACTGCAAAACACTGGAAAAAGACTGAGAAAAGCAATGTACTGTACATTTGCCATATAATTTATATTTAAGAACTTTTTATTAAAAGTTTCAAATTTCAGGTGACTGCTGCGATTGATGTAGTGGAGATGCCTGAACACAATTCTATATTTTAGTATTTTTTAGTAATTTGTACTGTATTTTCCTTGCAAATATTGAAGTTATAAACCATTTACTTTGTGTTCTACTGAGTAAGATGACTTGTTGACTGTGAAAGTGAATTTTCTTGCTGTGTTGAACAATCAGGACTGCGTTCACGTGAGATCCTTGTAGTATAAGCACAGGCCATTTTTCACTTTGGTATTAATACAATGTAAAAAAGAAACCTGGCTGAATGAGAAAATAAATTTCAAAGAATAGTTACAGAACAATGTTCTGATGATTAAATTTGTATTATCCCAGTGGTATTCAATAAATCAAAATATGTGACATAATGGGCAATATCAAACTTGCTGCACATCTCATTTTGCCCTAGGTAAATTAAATATCCTTAAGAGAGTTAAGCATATCTTCTGAACTGAACACATCAGCTGGCATGAAAGGAATGTGAAGTCTGCTGTTAAAGCCTTGGTCAGCAGGGCTTTAGGAATAGAGGACTTCACAAGAACTATAAGTGTGCTCTGAGTTGGGGGATGTGTACTTTAAAAACATGAAAACTTAGACTTTTATAGCATAATAAATACACACTAGAAATGCATCTTGATTTTGTCTATACCATCCGGACTCTTGAAAAGTGAATTCTAAACACAGAATTGTTAGTGTTGATGATGTTTATATTGTAAAGGATGTCAACGAAAAAAATGTATGCATTGTTAAGAAGATAGCATAATTATAAGCAACTGCCCTGAGCAACCCAGAGACAGTAGGGCTTTAAATCAGTGAGCATTTAAAAGAAAAATAAACACTAGAAATCAAATTTAGATCTGGTTTATGTGAGATGCTTTAACACTGTACATAAATGTTCAATTTACTTTCACAATGATCAAGAATACTGCCCATTACTGTCACATTTTTCCAGATATTAGATAATGTACTTTTAATGTCACATTTCTTTATAGCTTCCTATTGAATTGTGAGCTATTACTTGTTTAAAAACCATATCATTTTTTGTTGCCATGATTTTTTTTTTTCCACAAAAAAAACCAAAGTGCATTGTACGCCCTTTGGCCAGTCTTGTATGTGCCTTGATCCAATGCTACATGTATTCAGCTTTTAAAACTCGACAAATTTTTCATACTTCCTTAAATATGAAAAATTGTGGTCTTATTGCTGAATAAAACTTAAGAAAACATAAAGAATAATCGTGCTTGCTTTCGGGATTATGTTACTATCACTAAAAGTAGCAAATTACCCAGCACGTTAGTCCTAAACATCCCCATGTATTTTTCTAGGCATAAAAATAAAAGTTGAGTACAAATAAAAAATAGCAATACCTTGAGCTTGTGTATCATTTTTACTTCAAAGAGTCAGTGTTTCATGTATAGATTCCTTCCTCCGATTTTACTATATGTCCTACAGATGGAAAACTAGAAGTGATGTCAGGGTCTTTTCCTTTGATGAGTGCTGCTGCCATTGTCTGGGCTGATACTTTTTAAGGTGGTCTTGGAAAAGTTTGTTTTTAAAATAGCCTTTTTTGAGAGAGTTGGCATCAAAGGCTTTGAAATCTCCTACCTACCACTTACATTTAATTGTAAATATCGGGAACATTTTCTGAAGGAAGTTTGATTTTGCTTCTCTGGGTTTTGAGTGGCTCAGCTACAGTTCTGCCAGAACTCGGGGAAAGGACTGTATAGTTCCATGAAGTCTCAATAAATCTATGGCTTATAAAAAGCTTAAGTAATGACTTGCTATCAGATGTCCTCTAATTAGTAAAACCTAGAGCGTAGAAAGTTTTACGCAGGTTTTAATATGTCCCTTTTGATTATTTCATGTAGAATAAATCACAGACATGTTCTACCTCAGCAAACACAAAGAGCACCAAGTGCATAGAAGTTTACTGTTTACCTAGGTACAAGCCTCCACCTTCAAAGGCAACAGACTGATAAATTAGGCATGCATTTCTATACATTCTGAACTAAATGTTCACTTTTTTTGCTAGTAAAATAATTTTTGGCTCACTCTGAATCAAATACTAACAAAGTAACAGGAACAAAAAATTTTCAATCCTGAATATATAAACTACAAATTCAACAAGAACACGGCTGAGAGAGCTAGAAAAAAAATTGTATGGAAAAAAATCACTCCCTTGCCAAATGTTTGGCAAAAATCAGAAACTGTTTTCAGATGCACTAACTTGTAACTGAATGAAATTACTGCACTGACACTCTGGTTCCCTATTTAAAAACAGCACTGCGCTCTGTCTTTCAGCAAGGCTGACTTATTAAAAGTATTCCCCTGGGCCAAGGGAACTAGTAAAAAGCAATGCTTTCCTAACTGCAGTTTCTGAATGAAGCACAGTTTAGGGCTTTATGCAACAGGACAGTTCTGTGAGGAATCCCCAGAGACCTGGAGGCACTCTAGAGCATCTTACAGGGTGAGGACTGAAGGAAGCTATCTACCACTGAATTGCTTTAATATGCACTCATCTGCTGCTGAAAACAATAATGATCATTAAAAATCACCATCACCTCTTAGCATGAGTAGCAAACCTTAATCTAGCACAGTCTTGACATTATAACTACTATTACATAAAATCATCTTTATACCCCCTTCCCCTTTGGCACCCTCCCACAGCCCCCGACACCCCCCACTGGAGTTCATACATTGTCATTTGTATTAAGGCCTATTATGTAAAATTAGTGTCCTAAGATGTCCCTCAGTGTATTACTTCTTCAGTATAGAAAATGAAGCAATTGCATCTATTTGAAAGGATCAGAGACCTCATGAATAAGGTGAAAGTAGAGCTTGGGATCTAAGAAATGTACCAAGGAAGCAAGAGAAGCAGGTACTTGCCATAGAAAGAAAATCATAAACAAGAGTACAGAGACAAAAGCGACCAACACCCGCAACCTGATTTCATCAGACTAGCACGGAAGGGTTTCATTAAGATCAACATGCCTCAGTGCAGACTTACTAAAAGAATCTCCAAGGTGAAGGCTGCTGTGGTTGAGGATCAGTCACTGTTAGAAAGTGTTTGGAAAGACTAATAGCTCAGATAAAACACAAAATCGAAAGGAGGCAGACTGGACATGTGTATTTTTGATTTTTGTTTGGGGGGATGTTTTTTGTTTGTGCTAGCTTTGGGATTTGTTTTGTTTTTTCCTTCTGCTTTCTGGTGTCTGGTTGGTTTGATATACCAGGCTTTGTGGTATGCTGATTTCAATGACAACTGCATTAATGTTCTTTGGTAATGTGTGACAGAATGTTCTTTTGAGCAAGTGTGGAAAAAGTCAAGTCACTTTAGGAGTATTTAGTAGAAACAGAATATTGTGGATGAATGAGGGAAAACTAGACAAAATAGACATATTAAGACAGCACAGTGTTGCAGGTAAGAGGAAATAAGGTTCTGAACAGGGCATTGCCAGTGCAGTGGAGTTAAAAGGTAGAAAAAGTAAAGGTCCGTTTAAAAAAAATAAAGACAAGAATACCATGTTGTAAATGACAATGGTAGAAGGTCAGTGAGAAAATGGAGATGGAAAACAACATTGGTGAAGCAAATCTCAGGATACTGTATCTATAGGTTTTGAATGGGTGACTATACATAGCTGATTACTGATACTGTTCTCTTTAACCTTCAATAGTGACAGAGTTAGATAAGTTAAAATCACTTAAAGTTCAAAGTATTTTTATTTAGTTCTCTAGAAATATCCATAAGAGGTTAGAAATTAAGATCAAGAGACATATGTTCAGGAAAGGGAACCTATATGGATAGGCTGTTATGTAAAGCTGAAAATGTAGATGAGGTCACTTTTTCAGGAAGGTCAGGAAGGAGTAGTAAGACAAGCGATGAGGCAAAGAAACACCTTCTGTAGAGATAGAAGAGAAAAAAAAAATTAAACAATGAACAAAAGTAGGATCAGGCTAGGAAGATGGCTCAGTGGTTAAGAACAGTTGTTGTGCAAGCAAGAGGACCTGAGATCAAAACTCATAGCACCCATGTAAAAACAAGCTGGGTATAGCAGGTAGATATCAGACACTGAGAGCTCCCTGACCAGCCAGCCTAGCCAAAATAAGCAAGCTTCTGCTTTAGTGAGAGACCCTGTCTTAAAAGAATAATGAAGTGATCGAGAAAGATACCTAACATCTTCCTCTGCCTCCATGTGCATGTGCAGAGGAATGAGCACCTACACCCTCACATGCATGCAAGACACACACACACACACACACACACACACACACACACACACCATAGACATAGGTCCTCAGAAGAAAGGATGTAAGGAACAAAGGGGAAAAAAGGAGAAAAGAGAAAGAAAGAAAAGAGATTAGGATTACACCATGGGAAGGAAAAGATTAGGATTACATCATGGGATCATGGGAAGAAAACATGAAGTAAAGGAACTAGAATTCTTTTAAAGAGGGTGTCTAGATACAGGGAAGACACTAAGACAGTAGAAGATACTACTGAACATGGACAAAGAGACCCTGGGGGACAGGGTACAAAAGCCTTGTTTGCAAAGTAATAAAGCAGAGGCCTCAAGGGTATTGACAAGTTGAGAGACAAAGAAAACAAAAACAATGATTAAGATAATTCTTTTAAGGGGCTAGGAGAGCGAAGAGGTCTTGGTAGGTCAGTGGGAGGAACAAGGTAAATTTTTTAAAAAGGAAGCTAGGGATTCCAGGAAAGAGATTTGTTGACCTCAGGGATAGATGAGATACAGAGATAGGAATTTACAATGAGGACAATGAACAAATGAAGAAAAAAGAAAACTGCGAGGCTGAGGGATGGGACCTCAGGCATGGATGTGACCCTAAGGACTGAGCAAAGAGCACGATGGAAAAGCTTGCACTAGCAAGGAGGACAGTCACCAAGAGTGACAGAAAACAGGTATAATGTAGAGATTTGATAAGGAGAAAGAAGAGGATGGAATTAGGTAAGACATGGACTTCAAAAGAATGAATGATGATAAAAACAAATCATTCAAGATTCTTAAAAGATTCTTTGATACAAGCTGCCCACATTCCACATTCTAGCCCCACCCCTTCCAGTTTCATTACATAGTGGTAGTGAAAGATGGGGCAGGTAACAGGGAAGGCGTTATCCTCAGGGAAGAGATGTCAATGAGTCAAGGCTGTGGAAAGATGTTAAGAAAAATTTCAAACACTTGGGTAACTAGATTTCAAAAGAAAAAGATTGCAGTAGGCTCGGTGGGAACAGTTAGGACAGCGGCTAGACAAGAAAGGGGTCCGGAAGCAGACATGTGTCTAA